AAAAAAAAAAAAAAAAAAAAAAACGCCATCATCGCCATCCGCAAAATCACGCACGGCAAACACCGAGCACCTAACCACCGTCCGATCATCGCCCTAACCTCTGCCGTTGCTTAAGAAATTTGTCTACACCGAACCATCGTCAACCACACGACGAAATTCTGCCACTGACCCGTAACAACAACCACCAACACGAACACACCGAATTGCTGGCTGATTGAGAAACGCAAAAAAAATTATATATAAATAAAAAAATAAACCAAATTTCGGCATCACATGATAGAATCTCCCAATTGTATTCCCGACCACGACGAGTGCACTCCCCGACCGTCAATTAGTCCCGGCGATTTCTAGCTTAGCCAACCCCAGACCGACAACGCGGCTAAACAGCCAGCTAGACGAGCCGGATTATCCGGACGACAGCGCGGTCTACAGTCATCTGCATGCTAGATCTGATGATCTGGAGATAGGCGATACGGATACGATCGGCTGGCAGTACCGTGATTCAACATCAGACGACGATGAGGTGGTGATGCAGGATCTGCCGACAACGGACACTGAGAGCGATCTGATGGAGGAACAAAAACCGGTGGAGTTTAAGATGCCCGAGGTGGAAGCCCCACGGAAAACGCGAAAGTCTAGGAAGGAGCGCAGCACCATCACCAAAGTCACCAGGCGACAGAAGACTCGCGCCTGCAAATCGATCACGAAGAGTTACGATTTAGATTTTAGCGACGATGCTGGCGTCAATTAATTAGAAAAAGAGAAAGAGGAAGATGACTCGATATATAGACGGTGGGAAAATGAGGATAAACCACCGGAAATATGGAAAGCAGAAAGAATCAAGATTATTGGAGTGTTGACGATTTTTATTGAAGGCTCACAAACGATATGTATTTGTGATGTATTATTACGAATGATAAAAAAGACTTTCTTACGCGCGAAAGAAAGCGCTCTGAGGATCGATGACAATTTTTTTTTGTATATTATACACTCACTTTGATACTTTTATTTCATGCAATTTATTACGAGTTTGCCTTTTGCATTTTTTTTTTTTTATATGGGAATGCGCGAGACGAAACTTTCTGTTCGCGGATTCACGATAAATTTTCATTTAGTGATACATGTAATCTCTTGTCTGTATTGCTTTCGTGAGTATAAAAATTACACTGTGTGTGATTGTTTAATTATGGATAATACACTTTAGCGGTGGAAAGGTTGTTTAATACACTGATAGGTATTTAATGCCACTAATAGGTAACAGACTTTTTGTACAATCTTGTATCTCTATTTTTTAGAAAGACACAAAAATTTTGAAAGACTTTAATCGTTATATGACTATAGTGGAGAACTTTTAATCATATACACATTTTCGACCAAGATAAGACTTGTTAGTCGTTCCCACTCGTGTGCCTTACTTCGATTTGTATAATTATTCCACGTTCGATTCTAGGACTCATAAGGATTACGTACGTCTTAGCTCGAATATAAAATAGCTTTAGAAATAATCTCAATATTTTTACGTAATATTCCGCACATTGCCTTGACGTTAATAAAAATGCCAATTATGTCAAAGCACGCGGTGACATTCAACATGAATTTAAGAACGATAATAAAAAGATCGTTGACATCAAGATATTTATATCAAAGAAAAAAATCTGAAAATATTAATTAGAAATTCTGTGTAATTAACTGTCAACAATTACATATCTTTTTTCTATTATGTCGTTTTTATCTCACGCAATTTTTAAAAAAGTTTAATGATGTGATTAGGACAATGAACTACGATAAACACTGAACTTCGATTAATTCTAAGACTACAAATCTTTTTTGAAGCTACGTGTGAGTTTGTCGAATCCAATTAAATATTTTTATATGTATATAAATGTATATTTTCTGATAAATAAGAATTCTAAACGTTGTAAGTCAATTAATTATAAAATAAAAATTCGACTTACTAAATTACAAAATACACATGTGGAGCGATTTAAAATTTTAGTTGGTTTTCAAAAACTCACGTGCATAGTCCTAGAATTAGAATTGATCCTTTTTTCGGTTGCATCGCAAGTAGGTTTGTTATTTATACAAAAAGACAACGATTCTTTAACTTAGTCTTAGATTAACTCGATCAAAGTCATTGAAGCAACTTTGGGACTTTAAGCATCTGTTTGTGCCACATGTTCACTAAGTCATACGTTCTACAAGTTGCGTTTTGGGAAGAGAAACTCAGGAAAAGGAGTTGTTACTACGAAAATTGAGAATGCAACGAGATGGACGACTACGCGCTCGTGAGCGCGTAATCGTTATCGTTATCGTCATCATTGTTGTCATAGCTAGTGTTATTCACGTGTTTATGTATTCGTCATCTCGCTTGTGTATTTTACCTACGAAGTTACCAAAAAATAAAAATTTGATCGCACGCACACGGAAAATCCATAATAACAATAAAATTTATCGCATCATCGACTATTGTGATCAACAATTGTTGGATTTGTCCTGCTGTATCAATGCCGATAAAATGTCTGCCGCTACTTGTTCGACGTCACTCGTTTATGGAGATGCATAGACGGAAAAAGACGCGTGTGTTATTTGATGTTGATGTATGAAAGAGGGAATATTTTTGTACATAATGCATGCTACAGGTATATTGAGAAAAAATATATTAAATCTTAATACATATTTTTTTCAATAGCGACTCAATATTTACTTGTAATAAATAAAAATTTACTCGATAAAAAAAATGATGATTATAAATTAATAGTTCTTGTTAATTTTTTGTAAATGAATATAAGTTCACATTTTAGTTAAATATTCAATTAGTTAATCAAATTCAAAATATTAAAATTCAATATGTTTTTTCAATGTGTATGTAATCAGTTATTCCTCTAGAGGATTGCGTGTTATACCCTTGCGATCGGATGCGTTATAGTTCCGAATGAACTATCAGATCAGGTCAGGGATTAAATTACGCGAAAGCATGCTGGTTAGTTTTGGTCTTTGTGACAACAAAGACTATCTCTGACCGCGCGTAAATCCAATGCCTTAATTCTCACGTATAACTTTCCGTGTGCGAGCGCTTTTAGCATCGAGCTGTTCTAGCTAGTAAGATTTTTGTAACCGAGCCCAAAGACTCTGATTATTATGATGAGCTGATTCCTTTTCAAATAAAAGTATTATTTGAATAAGCTTTTGATCCTTTGTTTTTGTTTGTTCATTTCGCCGCAACGACTGCGTCCTATCTTACATCGCCTCCCGCTGTATCCCAAACGGCGATCTCATTCCAGGCATTAATTCTCGCACCAACAGCGCATTCTTTCTAAAAATATATAAGTTCACATTCAATTAATAGAACTAATCGCTAGACGTGCTATATTAGACGCGACGGTTACTCACGCATATTGCACGCATTTATATATCATCGGCTGTCGCGTGCTTCTGGACAGCGCATGTTTAACAGAAAGATACGTATATACGTCCGGGAAAAGCAAGAAATCGCCTTTGGATTGATCTAAATCCGGCGTAAGGGGAGTTTGCCTTCCGTGACCGGGTGACGGCAGATAACACATTAACATCCTTTTGGTTGGTAAGATTTTTATTTTGTTTTCTTTTACTCTTAATCGACTCTTTAAGTTTTTCTCTCGATAATTTAATTCTTCTTTTTTTTTTTTCATCTTTTTTTTCTCGCAGTAAACTGTTTGCGACGTTTGCGGCGCATGTGTTTCACGAGCGGCTTTCTTTTCCAGGGCGGCGGTGGGTTGGTACAACAATTGAGGAAAAGTTACAGCCTCAGTGATCTAACCGGTGAGAAGGAGGACGAAAATAGAAACACACCCGATGCGCGTGACGAAACGGATATGGAAGGTAGCTGATCCCTCGCGTCGTGTTAATTAAATGGAGATTTTGCGAGAATAAGTGCAAATATTTGGAGCAAATATTTCTTACACTTTTATATTTTTACAAATTTATATGTTCATTTTGAGTATAATTATGTACATTTTATAAATATGTAATTTTATACATGTGTTTTATATAAATTTTAAAAAATATTTAAATAGTCCTTGAAAACAAAGCGCGTTTACTATTTAGTGACTTAATTTTAAGTAAATAAAATTTGTGGATCTTTTTTATAGTGGAACCTCGTCGAAGAGAGCACGTTGGTAGAAGAGGCTATAGTCCTCGCAGGACCCAGTCCAGCAGCAATGCGTCTCGAGTAGAGATGTATTTTTCCGAAGTAGATGTCGATGTTCGACAGCCAAGGCCTAGGGAGCCTATAGCTAGTTTAACGTACGTGATTCCGTGCAATTTCTAAGAACGATCGCATTAACGTTAAACGGTCGATAATAACAAATCTTTTCATATTTATAGAAATATAAGGTCCTCGGACGACATATCTAGCGGTTACAGTAGCGGCGAGGCGTTGCAGTCCCAGCGCACGACTTCTCAGGGTGACTCTTTAGTAAGAACATCAAGCGTTGGTGCGAGAACACGCGTGAAGCCTCGTTCTACCACGAAGAAGACGCCCGAAGTAAGCCCGAGTAACATAGAAACTAATAATCGCGTACACACCGATCATTAACAAAAAAAAAGAAAAGAAATTACATTGCTTTTTCACGCATACTCGTCAAATTAATAACACATACTTTTTTATGATCTTTGAAGGACAGGGGCGAGGATTTCGACCGCACACCTCCCGAAAATGTCTCCCTACCATCATCCCTAAACGTCCTCACTCCTGAACAAGCTGTCGAGCTTTTACTGTTGTTATCTCAAAGTAATAAATCGATAGACCGTCCAACATCTACCACCGCTTATATCGATAGCGATAAATCCGCAAACGAAAACAAATCCGCAACGAAAATAGAAGATAATGAATCGTCATCGTCGGAATCGAGCAGCGAGTTCGTTGACACAGACTTGGCTCAAATAGACGTGCAAACAGTGCAAACCATAGAGATCAAGAATATCTCATTGGAAAACTTGTCAATACCTGCGGTGACAAAAAGCGCAGACAAAATAAATATCGATTGTTCGATAAAGGAATCTGATTCTCAACAAAGCGATTCTAACACGCAAATTGAATATATTGATGAATCAAATGAAGTAGTAGTTTCAACTGTTTCCCAAAAGCCTAATATAGAAAGAACCGGTCTTGAACGAATAACTGGTGAGATATGTCAACAAAAATTCGACGAATTGAAGCAATTATTAGATAATGCGCACAAAGCTGTAACAAGCATCGTATCTTCTCAAGAAAAGTTAAATACGATTGACGAAGGTAAGGAACATATAAATATACAGGAAATTAGGACTAACGATTCGTTGAGTACTTGTGCTTGCGATACTGCGGTTCACTCTCCCGTTACGCCGAGTACATTGAAATGTGATTTTGACGGCGATGCTCGGGCAGGAAAATATCATAAAAAGCCCGCTCCGAAAGCTCCAACAAGTAATGAGATAATAAGTAATGAAGACATTGACGAAAACGAGTCTCAAAATGCTTTGAAGGCCACCTTGGTCATTAAAACTGGTACATTGAGAACTGTTTCAAATACGGATACTACGAAAGATATATTCTTATCGCACGTCCCGGGCACGAAAAAAAGAAAGAAGTCTAACAGATTACGTGCTAAAGAGGGTTTTTCCAAATTATTAACGATCCCGAAGAACATCTTTCATAATGCTTTCCATAAGGAACAAAACGAAACTTCCTCTAAGGAGGAAGATTCCAGCTCCACGTATTCTGAGACCAGTGGATCTGCATCGAGATCGGGTAGTATAGGATCCCAGGTGTTTGTAGACACATCCACAAAATTATCTGTTTCAAAGCAAGAAGTGGACGTGAAAGAGATTCCACTGAGATCGGATCGCAATGACAACATTAAAAGTTTTGATAAAGATATAAATACTTTCGCTGAAAAAACGGATACTGAAGCTGTATCCTTGAACGAAATCAAAATAGATCTGAAAATTGAAGATAATAAAAAAGAAAAAGGTGCAATGAATACAGAAAAATCCGAAAATCATGACAAGAATGTTGAAAATGAATCAAACTCACAGATTCGCGAAACGTCACAGTCGCTGCCTTATAGAAATAAAAAAGAAATTATCACTGACATTAATTAAATGCATTTCGTTAATGTCGCATATTTCGCATATTATAGAGAAATTACATTAGCTGTATTAAATAATTACTTAATAACTATACTTGTCTTTTGTCTCTGATGTATTTAAAATATGATAAAAGCTTGTTCGTTCTCTCAATCCCAGTTTCCATATTTCATATTTTATCCTGATAGGAAATCCGGGCAGAAGAGATGGACTGTTCCATTAAGATCGTATGGACTAGTTTCTGATTTCTGAGTCTTGTTAATCCAAGTTAAACAATTAACTGCAATTTCTTTTTTTTAATCATAACACTTAACTGCGTGTTTTAGTCTCTTGCATGATGTTAATTTTTAATGTGACATTATAACGCAATTAATCTATAATTTTTTATGAGTGAATGATTTGCTCATTTAAAATAAGGAATTTGTATATTTGAACTATCTTATATATAAGTAATTGGTTGAGTTTTAATCTAAACTTTTCAAAGAAAATGATCTTGCCCTTCATTTTTTATCACTTACAATCAAAACCATAAAAAATGGCGAGAGATTGACAACATGCCATCTGAATTTTATAGTAAAAATATAAGCTATAATAACGTCGTATCTTCATTTCAGATAACGAGTTTCGCTACTTTACCTCGCAGTAAGAAGACCAGTAAGAAAAAAGTGGCATGAAACCTTCCTGCTGCTGACCGCATTAAGGAATAAGACTAAGTCCCTTGTAACCAAGGCAAAGAAGTATCTTCATCAACGTGCGGATCAAATGTTTGCACGAGCCAATAATGGGCACACTAATCGGTCAGCAGCAAATATCAATTAGCTAAAACATGCAATATACACAATGGAATGTTTCTAGCACTGGTATATCTCTCAATTCAGCTTTTTGACTATTGATTTAACTTATCAAGCGTTAGTTTTATCAATCGAAACAAAGAAAATCCTGTCTTTTCTCTCATTTATTCGAAAGGAGCTTATTGGATATAGACCAGGGTTATAAAGGAAATTCTGACAGCTTTGTCGTCCTTGAGAAAAAAGAAACATATAAATAATGTTTATATATACTAAATTTCGATCACGTCGGATCACGTTGCACCGTTGCTCACAGTCATCCGACATGTTGTTATATAATTCGATAAATTCCCATATGTATCTTAAGCTCTCGCAAGAGAATCCAGTCTAGCTTTTATATGCTAACGTTTGATAGTGCTGTCGTAGGTAGGGAGGACTTGATACATATTGCATGCAGTATATCTGCTTACGAATAGGCTTTGATTATAACGGAACTTGCCACAATCGCGCGACGTAGTCGAGAATGGAGTAGAAAAATAAGTCCGCTACCTAAATCAGGGATTTCGACGCTTGATTCTCAACGCGTAGGCGATCGCCGCAAACAATAAGGGAATTCTCTACGTACCAGCGACTGCGAAATCACCGCGAAATGATTTCGATATTGCGAAATTGCTATTGTAATTGAATAAATCGAATTCTAGTCAATCAGGACAATGAGTAGGAACTCAGACCACATTGAAATAGTGCCACGCGATTGTCCGTATATAATTCTCTTTTCACTACCAAATAGTAATTGTTTGATGAACTGTCTAACTACGATTGTATATGCGTACGTCACAGAGTATTGTGTGGACTTAATCGAATAGCTGTTTTCCCTCGCACTGAATCTGAAGAGAAATCGCGCGAATTTCTTTTAAAAAAAACAAAAGAAACTCTACTTGTGTAAGGTGCAACGATTTGTCTATTAATCTGTGGAAAATTGTTAAGAGTATTGTTGAGAGAGAAACGTGCGAGATCACTTTCAGTTTTTACACGTTTGCAATTTGAAGACAAGATATTACTTACACGATGTACTTTGATAACGATTTTATTTTATGAATGTATTCTTCGTATCATTTTATCGCGCTGTTAATTTAGAATATACCCTGCTTGTGTAACTCACGCGATGAATTTTAAATATTTATCGTGCATAATTTATAATTACATTTATATTTCGGTATAATCCTTTCATGAAAGCGAACGATTCTGCATTGTATGCTCACGAGACTTACGCACAAGTCCTATGACTATTTTATTGTATCTATGTGTTAATGGATTCGTATATAGTTTATCGTGTTGTACTTTAACGTTTATTGCATATCCTAGACAAAATTAACATATTACGTACGATTAACTTCAATTTAAAAGCAAGGAAAGCGTGGAACGTAGTTGTATACACTCGACGAGTGAAATATTCGATATATATTAACAATTGTTGATTTTGCGTGTATATAAATTTGACGCATTCATGATACCATCGGAGAAGAAAAATGTAGCAAATGCTTTTTATACACTTCGTGATGTATAAATTATGTATAAATGAAATCTATAAGAAAATATAAATATATAATAATGCGGATCTCTATGCAAAATATAATAGATATTTTTATCCAATCCAGAAGTGGAACATTTGCACGAAATATGCATTTGCTGCATTTCATCTGCGTCTTTATAACACGACTCGTTGAAAGACGTTAATACGTATTTGTCTCGAACTTTATAAATATATATACGAGAATATGTGATATGAGAGTGAGTGAAAGAGTAAGAGAAAATGCTCAACTATGAATCTCTATCGATATTAAATGGTCGGTTTCCTATAGATCTTATATATAAAGCATCTCTCGTTCTTTGTAAGTACTCAACGCCTCCGGCGCATAAATTGTGTCCCGAGCTATTATGGTGCTGCGATCTTTGTAATTTGTTTTATAGTTCTGTACGTCGATAACGATATACAAGAAAAAGAATCGAGAATAGGTTTAAAACAAAGTCACTCTGTGTTCGAGTTACTCGGATAATTAGCAGAGTGAAATTGATTAACAGTATTTCAGTTCAGATATGGTATAGCGAATAAATAATATTAAAATACGATATCTAATGAATGCCCGCACTTGTCCTGATCAGAGAATAGTATAATATATATCCATGCCATTTAAGTTAAGTCTGAGTTTTCATCTAATGGAACTCAAATCTTTTAAATAATTTCTTTTTATTCATAAAATATAGGTCTTGCAATAAATGTAAAGTGTGTATGTTAAATGAAAAGACAAACATAATAAGAATACGTTTATATGTATTATAATACTATACATGATTTTACTTTTTACAATTATAGAATAGTCGCAAATACGTTGTACAAATATCGCAAAATTATTAACTTTGCTAAAAACATGGAACGAAGTTTCTCACATTGAAACATCGGTTTGACATGGCTTGTGTCAGCCGGAAGACGTAATATTGCGCATTTGCCTGACTGCAGCTACGACACGAGCATTGCAACCGGAGCTACCGTTTTGATAATCTTCGGACGGTAATCTCAGCAGTAAGGACATGTGTTGAAGGTTTTCCGATAAGCACAGACCGAGCTCCTCCAGTACATTACCCAGATAATCTACATTACATAATAATTTTCATTTACATCCTTTCATAGTTCCTTCAGAAATTATAAAATTACAGATAATAAAAGACTTTTACCAATATCAGTTGCGAGCTGTTTGCAAGCAACGGAGTTCAATTGGCAGATACCTAAAGTTTGATCCTGGAACATTTGACACGTTCCTCGGGCAATAATGTCTAAAAGAATACTAGTAAATCCAGATTCATTTGAGCCTTGAACATATTGTGGATCAGCTGCCTTCAACGCTTGCGTTAGACTCGGATTGTCCCTCAACAGAAACGGTTCCAAGTGCTGTGGCAACGTCATTAAATACTGTCCGACCTGTGTGATATACTCTTGAGGGGCAAAACTATAATCGGGTAAATCTGAACTTAGATTGGACATTTTGTTAGCCTCCAATGTCCAAGCCGGTGCCTTTTGCACCAGCAATAGTTGAGAGAATATTGGCGCAAAAATGACTTCGTACGTGATGTGATGTAAATCAGTGCAGAGTTTTTGAATAGATTTTATAATCGAATCGAGAATTGTATTATCCTCTGCAAAACGATAGGAAATTATAATAGATAATTTGCGCGCTTCTCGTAACATTATAATTATTATTATTACGCGCCCATACAAACCTTTTTGGAAAGATGCAACAAGATTTTCTAGATCAGCGCATCCTGTCGAAGTTAACAGTAATTTTTTATACTGACTAAAAACGCTACCGTTTGTGTTTTGTAATTTATTACTAGCTTCGGTTATGTCGATTACAAGCGACTTTTCAAATTGTTGAACTTGATGCAAGAGATCACCTGTACAGCAATGCAATTTAAATTAAATTAATGATCTCGCTTTTACGTTATATAAAAATTGTTCGCTGAAACTTATATTTACCTATATTTTGCATCAACGTAAGACACATTTGGAATAAATTCCAATCTTCGCGTCTCACTTTCTTTCTCTCAAGTTGTCTCAGACCTTGCTGATATTTCTCGAGGTATTTATTGAAAAAAATCTACAATATAGATGGTCAGCTTAATAAGAAATGCATTTTATAACCATGACGTAGATACAAACGAAAAATCTTAACGTACGTTTAAAGATTGCAGTAAACCGGGATACCCACAACCTTCCGTAAAAAGCTTACATTGCTTATTGGCTTCACTAGCATGGCCCATAATCCGCGAAATACTAAGAGAGAGGGAGTTAATAGTATCGCTTAAATCATCATGTGAATGATGCCAAAACTGTAGATGGTGTTCTAATTGCGCTGTTTGGAACGTGCTATATTTCGCGACGTAAGGAACGTAAGGCGCGTATACAGCTTGTGCTAGCGACAGTAATTTTTCATTCTGCAATTTTCCACGAAGCGACGTTTCGATAGCACCTTTAAGGTTTGTAGCAAAATGCTTTGTCATCTGTTTCAATTCGAGTAGAATGGTCAATTGCACCGAGTTGGAATGTTGTTTGAGAATCGCCTCTATACATTCTAGAATACCTGGATCGAGACTCCTTAGTAGATCAGCGTAAATTTCAACATGAATATCTATCGAAGTATTAGGAAAGACTTGATGACACCATTTTACCTTCAACATAAATAGTTACAGAAAATATCGATATATAATCCAGCAATAATAATAAAATTGATCTGACAGAGACTGCGCATACCTGTTCATGCCAAGAGGATAACAATTTGTCATAATATACACGTAGCCAATAGGTAACATTTTCATCTTGCGCCAGTTCAATAGTGCGTCTCCATTCTTGACCTAAAGAGACCTTTAAGCAGTTGTGATAGTATTTGAGAAGCTGAGGCAAACGTTCCATCTTACCAAAGATATCCACGTAAGTTTTCGATTGCTCTAAACAAAATATGACATTAGTATCATATCTTGCAAGATAAACGAGTTTATTTAGACCTTGCAAATTTTACCTAAATTGGAAGCAGTGAAAGCTTGGACCAATCGCGGACTAGCTATCGCCTCGAGGCGATTTTTCAAGCCTTCTAGCTGCAGCTTTTTATCCTCGTAATCGACAACATTCGCGAGTATAGTTAGTGATTTCTGCATGCTAAACAATTTATTAGATATAGCTTCTATATCGCCAGACTCGAATACCTGTTGTATTTAAATTAAAGGAAACAATGTGTTATAATTAAATTATCACATATCATATCAAAATACGTGAAGAAATCAATTGAAACTTTATATACCTCTTCCACATCGTTCGCTAATACTGTCCAATTGTCGGCTTCGTGTAATCCTTGCTTAGCAGTTTGTAATTCCGTTTTTATCCTATCGATCTTCTCCAGCATCGCCATAGAAGAGGCCGTATCTTTCTCGATCTACGTTTCATTGTTTTCCAAAATTATCATACTACCGTCAAGATAAATATTTGAAGAAATTAGGTGTATACCAACCTTTGCGATCTCTTGCTTGACAGCAACCATTTTTTCTCTCAGTGCCAACGTTTCTTGCTGCAGGAGTTGAGTGTCTCTTAAAATTCTTGGTAAACTGGAGAGAACCGATTGACTGGTCTCCTCTAAGGCACTGTTAACTTGTTGCACATATAATTGCAACTTCATCACTAATGATGAAACAAAAGCCTGCAAAGTGTACTCAACAATCGTGACACAAATCTTTTCATAAGAATTGCTTATATTTTTATAAAATCATTGAATAATTCATAATTAATTAATAACATGGGACACGAAATTAGAATGTATTTTAAAATATTTCTTGCAATTGTTTAAATATAATTGCTAGCTCCACCTTATTAATTTAGAAATACACGAGCCGCTTAATTTACAATGGCATCGAAAACATAAAAATATTGCCACAAATAACGTTGTCACACAAAATAAAATATCCGTGTTTCGCGTACGGGCGAAAAAGTTTATTGTCCGTCGGTACATGATCGAACGATATCCCGACATAAATTTCGGCGTGAGATACGCGAGCTTATAAAAATATCGTTCAACAGGGGCCCGAAAACTTTGGCGGTGGTGCGAATAAAAGGGACATTCTTAAAAGAGAACCGATCGGTGTCACCGACCTATCGCCGGCGGGCGGTGGAAGCCGCCAGTTCGGTGGCCGACGGGCGTCGCGACGACGAGCGACGTGGATTCGGATCCGACGGGGGACACAGAAAAGCGACGAAATCAGGAGGGATGGTGGCCGGTGGCGACTTACGTCCTTGTTCTCCTGCGCTTCGACGGACTTGAACGTCCGGTTGATCCACTCCTTCACGTCGAAGCTGTCCTCGGAGAACGCGGCGACGTCCTGAAACGGTCATTTTGAGGTTAGGAACGAGCTGCTCGTAAGGCCTTTCTGCCGTTCCGCGATCGCGGTGTCTTCTCGCGAGTCGAATTCCCGGGGAAACTCCGCTCTCTGTGCCGTGTACCGAGTAGAAAAGAAAATTTAACGATCTCGCGATCGTGTAAAGTTTGTGTACGTCACCCTGCGAGCGAGCGAGTCGGAAGAGTAAAACGAAAAGGAAAAAAGAAAGAAAAAAAAAAAAAGAAAAAGGGGAAAAGAGCACCGAACCGACGCCGCGCTCGCTTACCATGGCGAGGAGAGAGTCCGCGCGGTCGGTGTTGTTCCGTCGGGCAGTCGTGCGCGTTTCGACGTGGAGATCCTTGGGACGTTCCCTGTTCGGTCGCTCGCGTCGTTATCGTCCGTCGCCGTGGTACCGCGCGACGAGTGGCAACGAGTGGCGCGCGGCACGAGGAGAGTCGTCCGTCACGACGCATCAAGCGCGGCCTCGCTCTAGCGTCGTCGTCGTCGTCGTCGTCCCCGCGATCGCCTCGTCCGCGTTTCTCGCGTCCGGAAATCCTCGCGATATTCGTACTCGGTCGACGTACGGGCCAACGTTCGCAAAACATTCGCGGCACAGCGTGCGGTGCGTGCGTGTGAAGAAAGGAAAGGAGAGGGCAAATATAAATTCACGCGGATCGATCGCGCGGTGCATCATCGTGTCACGACGAACGGCCAGGCGATGAAGACGAGGAGGAGGAGGAGGAGGACGACGAGGAAGTTGATCGTCTCGGCGGCGCGGGACCGTTTCTAGGCTAGCACACGTCCGACGGGGAGAAACGACGACGGGCGGCCGTCTGTTTTATCTTGCGCGGTGCGTCACGAGAAATGCGTCGGCTAGTCTCGATAGTCAGCGAGAAAGAGAGAGAGAGAGAGAGAGAATGTGCATGCATGTGTATGTGAGAGAATGGAGGGACGAATATAGAGACGCGTATGCATGTCGCGTGAGATGGCGAGAGACAGAGAGAGAGAGAGAGAGAGTGAGAGAGAAAAAAAAGGGTGTGACGAGGCGATGGAGCAAACGACGAAATTGTTTTAAAGACAACTTGTGTGTTTCGAATTCCAGAACACGCTCGTGCACATCGAGGAAGTGGCCACCACCGTCGTCGTCGTCATCGCCATCGCAGCCGCCGCCCTCCTCATCTTCCTCGTTGCGTGATCGGGAGTCCCGCGTTCCCGACTGGAGCGAGACTCGTTTGTTTCTGCGGCGAGGCTGCTTCCTACTCCGCAGGTGGTGCGTAACGAGGCGGCGGAAAAAAAAAAAAAAAAGGAGAGAGATCGGGGAGAGACAGACGGAGATAGAGGTGTGGGGTGAGGAGAGGGAATGGAAAACGGCACGTTATCGGCCGTTTCCGGGCCCTTTGTCGATCGCCACGCCTTCGAGGTTGCGTTTGCGCCACGTTATTTGCGCAACAGTTGGAAGCTGGAATTTCGTCTCCCCGAAAATCACCCCCGCACGCGGCCCAAGTAAGGAAGGGAGAGAAGCATTCCCGACGAGCGCGAGCTGCATTGCCTATCCGTCGTCGTGGACGGAGAACCTAGGAACAGCTCTGGCTGGCTGGCTCGCACCACCACCACCACCACTTCTAGCAGCACCACCAGCCCCCCGTCGCCCTTTCGTTTTGCAAGAGGGCCGACCGTCGTCGACAGTCCGTGAATCGTGCGCACACATGGCCAATTGCCGTACGTTACATGCACTTATACGGGGTGTACCCGAAGACGCGCGCTTCCTTAGTGGCTAAGAAGCGAAACGGTTCCGTCATTATCAGGCTAACGCGCGCGGAAAATTAACAATCGTACAGTCGATGGTTGTAAAGTCAAATTTGAGAGAATCGACGATCATAGAGTCGTTAGCTTTCGTCGTGGAGCAAGATCGAGGTAGATTAAGAATCGGAGCAATTATGATAAAATCTGAATTTCAATCGGCGGAGCTCGTGTGAAAGAATCGAAGCAGGTAGACGCGAAGGAAGCCCGCGCGGTTTCCGGAACATCCCGTATAACCGCGTCACATATCTGTATCGTTTCATAACGCTAAATTTAACGACTGACCCGATCAATTAACGGGTCTCGGAGGCGCGCGGAGGCGTAGTTGCATGTCGACGTTCGTTCTATTTTCTTCATCTAGCGCTTCTCAGAGCTAAAAGCGCTCTATATAGCGAGATAAAATTCCCGCGAGTTCTCTTTCCTGCGTGAAAAAAATATCGTAGGTAAATCGAAATTCAATTTTGTCAACGATCGTCCCACGCAACACGCCGCTTCGTGCCACGCACTTGGAAGTGCATCCGACGCATCCATGCAGAGATCCCACTTCACGCATTGTTAAACGACGCCTTTTGCAAAATTATGCGAACTCTTCGGAATCGAGGAAGTGATCTGGCCTATCATTTATTCATCAATATACTTATTCGACACATTGCGACAAAATTAATAAGATCTTTTTTTTTTTTGCAACCTTCACTCCAATTCGGCATCTTAGATTAATCATCATCTTGCCTATCTCCGGTTGTTATCGTCGACACGAAAATCGACACGCGGATGGTAGATAGTAAGGACTCGTGGAAAAAAAAGATTGCCTGTAAGAATGGCAGACCCTTCTCCTCCCATCCTTTTGCGAGACTGCCGTCTCTGTGTGGCTAGGATAATCAATGGACATTTTTCAATGTTCCTTGAATGTCCCACAATCGTATCCAGCGAGCGTAATTCTGAATGTTCAGACTTTTTAAACATCCGTCAATACCGTACGAATGTAGAATATCAAAAGAAAAAAAATTAAACAAAGTCGCATGTTTGTCTAAACCGAGAGTTGTAACGAAGATTATAATATCGTAGTTTATGATTAGATCTGTTCTTTTTTTTTTTGCTGAATTTGCACCATTTAGCTTTCCTCTTTTTCTCTCCATATTAGACAAAGAAAGGAGAAAGATGAATGCAACAAGTTCAGTCGAAGAGAACAGATCATATGGCTTCGTTCCTCGCGGAGCAATAGGCAACAACAGCAGAATATCAAGTCTGTTCGCATTCCTTGCATTTTTTGCACTTAGCCTCTTCGCTTTCCGCCTCAACGCCTGAATACATATTTATCTCATTTGAAGTGCAAACATTTTGTAAATTTCAAGCAAAGCGAGCGAACCTCCAATTGTTACTGAACATTCAGAAGAATCTCGGGGACATTGTCCTACGCGCTGGATATTGACACGACGTTCTGACGTCGGATCGACGGCAATCACGCAGCCTCCGTCCATCGGGTTGACCCGGCAATTCCGCCGCTTCTTCGCCGCGCCGCGCCATTCGACAATCCGATCGAAGCGCCAGCATTTTTCCAGAGCGGCGGAATCGCGGAGTCGCCACCCCGATCGCTGTTCTCCGCTGGGCCTCGCGCGCGGCCATGTAGCGCACAACGCACAACTCGGGGGCCTGTTGGGAGAAGGGCAGAAGGAGAGAAGCATCAGCAGCGGCCTTGAGGCTGAGTAGCAGCCAATCCCAAGCCCCCGCTCGCTAAAGGAGGTGGCGCGGGATTGGCTGAGCGTTCACCACCGGTACCAACCGCGACTTCCGGGCGCTTCCGGTCGGGACCACAGGCCGATTCCCCACGAGCGGCAGGGGCCCCTCTGGTGAGTTTAGCGTGCAGGTAACGCCGATTCTTCTCTATTTCTTCTTCTTTTTCTTCCTCTTCTTCCTCTTCTACTACTTCTACTTGTTTTTTCGCCTCTCTCGCAAAGCACTATCCTCCCAGCACTCTGTTCGAGCAGCAGCGGCAGCATCTGAGAATTGCAAGTAGGTGCCATTGCGCGATGACGAGCCAGCTTTTCCCCGTGAAATCGCGAAAGATTTGGATCTTTAATACCGCCAGTCGACCATCGAAATCTCCGGTGCTGTTTCGGTGAGTTCAAAGAATCTTTTCGGTGCCATAAACGTGAGAGAAAAAGAACGACGACGTGTTTTCGTCGCGTAATAAAATTTACGCGATTATTCCGAGGTGTTTAATTTCAGAACTGGAACTGTGGAACGAGGAATGAAGATTTGGTTAAATCTCATCGTGATTTCTTTTACAGTTTCGCGAAGAAACGAAATTTTGAAAATCGGCGTTAAAACTCTGGATTCGCAAGGATTTGTGTAACATCCAAATCCGAACTCTCCGAAATCAGACCGGTTTCGATTCTTCAAGGCTACCACCGTATAACTATACGCGATAACTAATGCACCTTCTCAGTGTTTCGGTATATCTATATATCGCGAACGGAACGTTCTCACACGACTTCGGCTATTGCACTCTGCGAATTCCAAGATCGGTGCAGCCTCGACGAGGTTCAATTCTCGACATTTCGGATGCGAAAAAGTGATTTTTTTTTTTTTTCTTCTAGCATCGGGACGAAATGATATCGACGAAATTATTCCGGTTTCGATCCCCGGAGCTGGTTCCATGGAAAAAAAAATACCATGGCAAATTTGCCGGCACATTTCTATCGCGGCGTTTAATATATAAAACAGGCTCCTGAACGCAACTCGACGGTGACTGTGCAGCACAGGAAATCGATCTCTTGTTCTCTCGTCTATACTTCTCTTTTTTAAATATATATATATATATTTTTTTTTTTTTTTATTTCACCGCGCGCCACTCGACTTGGCGACTTGGTGATATACGTTCGGCGCTCTCTGTGTGTTGCGGCACAGGAAATCGATCTCTTGTCGATCTTTTTTCTTTTTCCTTTCCTGCGCGCGGCGGAACGAGGCGTCGCCGATTGCAGAGCAGTTTTCGTTGCGATTGTGGGCCGCTGATGAGTCGCTGATTCGCTATTATGATTTCCTTCTTACACCACACAATAGATACACACAATCCGTCCTACAAATTTTGGTGTCGGCCCTTAATTTTTTTCTCTTTTTTTCGGGGCACTACTGTGTCATTAATAATGCGGCTGCGATAAGTTACATTTGGTCCAGCCGATTACATATACACATATATTTCTTTCTCACCTCTCGGTCTCCTCAACGCACATGACACAACGCTTCGGCTAATTTTAACTGTGCAGCTTGATTAAGTTTATCAATAATAATAAAAAAAAAAAAAAAAAAAAAAAAAAAAACCCAATATAAACTCACGGGCGAGTACTTGTGGTTTAGGGTGCTGTATTGTATGATGTATATATTACATATGCGTTAAATTACTATGTCTTATATGCTCCCATCTGCACGTACACTTCATTATCGGCACTCCCTTGTGGAATGAAAGCCTCCTTAGAATATATATACGCTCTTTGCTAAGTAGTGCCGTACCTTTAATCATGTCGACGTGAGTTTACGGCCGTGAGAGTGCGGTGCCTATAACTCAATCCCGCCGCCGCATCTGAGCTAACGATCGACCGTAAGACGTACTATCTTTGAGACTCTCGGTCGGGTCTCGAAACCAGGAAATGAAGTCGGGGGTATATACATATCATGTATACCGGGTACGTGAAAATACGTCTGCCGTTCCTAATAAACATAAGAGATTGTCGTCGCATTTCTACAATCGACATTTTACACATCATCAGTTTACACTTAAGAACATAGCTTTCGTTTGAGAGTCTAAGAGATAATCGTCCGGGACGTACCCTTCGAAGGGAGAAGCCGTTTTCGCGCGACACTGTCCGTTTTAATCTCACGCCTCGGCGAAAACTACTGGAAGATAATCATTGGATGTCAGTCTAATGTTCCTTACAAGGTAAACGTTTTGGAAAGTGTGTCAAGGGATGAAGTAGGTATATATATATAGAGATAAAATTTCCCTTTCGATATCGTTCGATCGCGGCTTCTACGACGCGATCTGTAGAAACCGCATCGTCCATGTTTATTTTTCATATTCGCCATCCTTTCATCCTTTTAAGCCAGTGCCTTTGGTTAGAGAGAAAATGCGATGTTTCTCTCTTTCCCGCAAGAAACGAAGGAAGATATATTAAACTGGAATTTCTTGTTGGGGGGTTTCTTAACCTTTGAAAAGGGGAATCGAACAAATTTGCAGCGTTGAGATCAATTTTTTTTTTACACTTGCAGTTTTTTATTAGGCAAAAGAGATATTCTTCTGCGAATTATTTGAAGACACAATTTCAGGAAGTAGATATATTTAAACTACAATTTTATGTACAAAAGCTAGATTAGTGAACTTGTATCATTACAATTGTGATTAGTGCAAAAAAGAATAGAATAGGATTTTATTATTAATTAATAGTTTTTCTCTCAAGCAATTTCATACAATTTTATCAATTAGTGACCTAGAATTCTACTTTATTTTCATGCGGTAATTTGATTAGTGCATCGATCCTCGTGTCGGAGCTATTTTTTATCGTTGCATTTTATTTAGTGGGGGAAAAAAAACGGGCGCAAAATCCGTCGATCCTCGAAAAGCCGAATCATTTACATTTTACAGAGACATTTTAATCCTCGCGTAAAAATATCGCGGACGAAAATATACGAAAGTGTATACGTTATGTATATATTATAGCTTTCCCCAGCATTTCCGTATACGATATTTTTCGAGAATAAGGCCCCAGAGAGCTGCGCGTTTCTCGGTACTCTCGCGCAAGTGATCGAGCGGTGTATCGCTTCTAAACGCCTGCAAAAAGAACATCGGGTCCAAAGTAGAAAGGAGAAAGCGTACGCGAATCGAACAATCGAACAGAATCCGGCCGCGATATCTCTCCCTGGCCCGATTGCTCCGCGTCAGCCTTGATCGGTTAACTCTGCCTGGCGCGATTCTAGATAATCTAGATCATAATCATACTCGACGAAAGACATCGGACTTGTCGCAACCGATGTTTAGAAGTGACGAAATTCGAATCACGTTCGTAACAATAAGACGAGAACGACATGAAATTCGTCAAGCATGGAACGTGCATCTGAAGTTTGCAACTGCTAAGTTTTCGATGTATCCCAATGTGACGCTCAACCTTGGATTTAAATCCCTACTTGTGGTTCACTTGAAATTAATCGCGTGGAACAACGTCGCGTTATCCGCTTACGCTGTTGAGGCTTAACTAGCCACTTCTGCTTTCAATGCTGGTCTCGAGAGTATAACGTATACAGCCCCACATCACAAAATAATTATACAACGAAAAGACAGCGTACATGTACATATCCTGAAAAGAAAGTCTGGTTGTATTCCTATAATTACAATTCTGATTGAAAATGGATGAATCAGAATTTTCTGGTTGAATGTATTATAATTCTAGTTGAAATATACCTACATAACCAGAATTCTGATTATATAATGCGACAGAATCTTCTGATTCATTCATTTTCAGCTGGAATTGTTTCTCAGGGTAGAGATAAATTCACGGTCAGAGATAAATTCATAGTGAAAATTTTGTTTAGAGGAAGCAGCCAAATTATGGTTGAGACTTTTCAATCTAGAAGGGGAATAGACTTGTTTTATATTATTTTTTAATTAATTCTTAG